CTATCTTCTAATAATAAACCATCAGTGATGACGTTTCCCCCATCTCTGTCCTCTGCTTCCTTCATTACATCTCTAGGTCTGAGGCCGCAAGGTTCTATCGGCGCTGAACTTTCAAGTTCCGGTTCCAGTACTCTGTCCTCCAATCAGAAAAAGCCTTGAGTTCCTTCCAATGAATGGGAGGGGCTCTGTGATTGGAGGAGGTGCGGATGAATGTCACGCTCTCCCCTCCTCCAATCCAATCTCCTGTATGACATGAAGAAGCAATGTCCTCCCAATGTAAATCCAACGGCAACCTACATCATCCAAGGTGGTAGGTCCATCATCAACCACATCGAGAGTGACCTCCCTCGGACATGGTGACCCGCGCCATGATGATCCCGTCACTCCTTCCCCTGGCTCCAGAAGTTGGGGGCTGGGGCGGGAGGGCCAAACTGAACACGTGTGGTTGGTGGTTGACCCAAACCCGAAGCTGATCCCTACATTGAGGAAGACGTACTCCTATCCTGACTATGGGGAACTTTTTCCACAGAGGTTTTGTCTTCAGAGGACCAACGCAATCCCTCAAGGTGTATTGGCATCCTGAGTGTATGTGGTGGGAGGGGGTCTGTAGTATACTCCAATGATGAGTTATATCATTCCACCCGGAATTCCTCCTTTACGATCTCCAACCACAAGACCATCCCAGAGATCTCCTTATCACAGCGAGACCATCCCAGAGATCTCCTCCTTATCATAGCGGGACCGCCCCAGAGATCTCCTCATCACAGCGAGACCATCCCAGAGATCTCCCCCTTATCACAGCGAGACCATCCCAGATATCTCCTCCTTATCACAGCGGGACCATCCCAGAGATCTCTCCCTTATCACAGCGGGACCGCCCCAGAGATCTCCTCATCACAGCGAGACCATCCCAGAGATCTCCCCCTTATCACAGCGGCACCATCCCAGAGATCTCCCCCTTATCACAGCGAGACCATCCCGGAGATCTCCTCCTTATCACAGCGAGACCATCCCAGAGATCTCCTCCTTATCACAGAGAGACCATCCCAGAGATCTCCCCCTTATCATAGCGAGACCATCCCAGAGATCTCCCCCTTATCACAGCGGGACCATCCCAGAGATCTCCCCCTTATCACCATCCCAGAGATCTCCCCCTTATCACCATCCCAGAGATCTGCCCCTTATGTTTGTGGGAGTGGCGCTCAGATCGGGGAGGGATGTTGATTGGTTGCATGTAGTGTGAAGTGCTGCCTCAGAGGAGAGATAAAACCTGATCACTGTTTGCTGACCAGTATCTGTGACTCCAGTGTCTGCTCTCCTCCTGGGGGATCTGGCTGAAAGATTCCTCCACCGTGCGGGAAAGGTTGCACGTGCTGGTGAGCGGATCCAGAGACTGCTGTACCAGAAAGAGACCCTGAGTGTCCGGATTCTACAGAGACATGATGCAAGCGTCGCTACTGCTACTGGGTGGCACAAGCTGCTGCTTCTGGAGAGGAGAAAACCACCTACCGACGCGGGGAGCCACAATCCAAGCTGCGAGAGCAGTGAGAGGCCATTGGCCACTCTGATATTGAGTCTTTACATCAGTTGGCTCAGTATTGTGCAGGTCGGCCGCGGCAGTTCAGATTTATCTGCGTATGTAAAGTGCTTCTATGACTTCCTGTTTGCCATTGTTGTTCCTGAAGGTGAACCCCTTTGAGGTTGAAGGTGAACCCCTTTGAGGTTGAACGTGAACCCCATTGAGGTTGAATGTGAAACCCTTTGAGGTTGAACGTGAACCCCTTTGAGGTTGAATGTGAGATCCTTTGAGGTTGAATGTGAACCCCTTTGAGGTTGAATGTGAAACCCCTTTGAGGTTGAACGTGAAACCCCTTTGAGGTTGAACGTGAACCCCTTTGAGGTTGAACGTGAACCCCTCTGAGGTTGAACGTGAAACCCCTCTGAGGTTGAACGTGAACCCCTCTGAGGTTGAATGTGAACCCCTCTGAGGTTGAACGTGAACCCCTCTGAGGTTGAATGTGAACCCCTCTGAGGTTGAACGTGAACCCCTCTGAGGTTGAATGTGAGCCCCTTTGAAACTTGAAGACTGGTTCTGGCCACTTTCATAGTCAATATGTAAGAGATTGTCAGATGAAGGGTGAAACCTGTGGCCATAGGCTGCCCCCCCTAACCATCCCCAGTCCTTGAAGACCCCGGGGGGGCGGTGAAGGTTCCTGATCTCGGCACATCTCCTAAACTTCTCTACTTTCTGTCTGTTCAATGCCTCACCGTCCATGAATGAGGACCACAGACTTAAGATTTAAATCTGAACATTTCTCATACCAGTGAGATCTCCTCCTTATCACAGCGAGACCATCCCAGAGATCTCCTCCTTATCACAGCGGGACCATCCCAGAGATCTCCCCCTTATCACAGCGGGACCATCCCAGAAATGAGGGTGGCACGGTGTTCAGTACTGCCACCCTCATTCTCTCCACATAGTTTGGGGCTCACCATAGAAAAGATGGAAGAGAGTTTCTCTATGTGAGATGTCATCTGATGATCATGTATTTGGAGGAATTCCGGGTGGAATGATATAGGACTCTTTGAACTCATAAGCTTATCATTGGAGTATACTACAGACCCCGCCCCCCTCCCCCCAAGATTTATCAGAAGGGGACAGTTGGCTCCTTCAATAAGTACAAAACATGAGAATAAAACTGAAAAGAAAACATTTAATAATACAAAACTGAAAAAAAAGAATAGATCTCCCCGACTCTTCATCCAGAGGACATACCTAGCTCCTCTCTCACCATGATGTCTTCCTGGGAAGGGAGATCAGACTACACTGCTAGAGGGACTCAACCAGCAGTGCCCCCCCCCAGCAGAGGAAGCCAGACACAACTTTGAAGTCTTTATCAGCTATCATCTCTGAGCTGTTCCTTGAGAAGAGCTCAGCCACGTGTTTTCTGAAAGCTCCCAGTGTCAGATCTCTGATGAGTCATATAGAAAACATTTCCCGCACTAAGGACACTAAGACACCTCCAGGGTTGTGTGCGATCTCTGATGCCTGACAAGACAAGACTTCTGTGAAAAACATTTCCTGCACTCAGGACAGGAATAAGGCTTCTCCCCCGTGTGGGTTCTCTGATGTTTGTTTAGACTGGTATTTTGTGAGAAACGTTTTCCACACTCAGGACAAGAATAAGGCTTCTCCCCCGTGTGAGATCTCATATGAATAATCAGATAGTCCGGCTGGGAAAAACTTTTCCCACACTCAAGGCATGAATACGGCTTCTCTCCTGAGTGAGACCTCCTATGAGAAGAAAAATGGCTCGACTTCGAGAAACCTCTCCCACACTCAGGGCAGGAATAAGGCTTCTCCCCCGTGTGAGATCTTTGATGTACAACAAGGTCTGGTTTCTGTGAAAAGCATTTTCCACAGTCGGCACAGGAATACGGCTTCTCCCCCGTGTGCAATCTCTGATGTATGGTAAGCTTGGACTTATCTGAGAAACCTTTCCCACACTCAGAACAAAAATACACTTTTTCGCCCGTGTGAGATCTTTGATGTTTAACAAGGACTGATTTCCATGGAAAACTTTTCCCACACTCGGTGCAGGAATAAGGCTTCTCTCCTGTGTGAGATTTTCGATGTTTGAGAAGTGCAGATTTCCGTGAAAAATGTTTCCCGCATTCCGCGCACGAAAACAGCTTTTGACCCGTGTGGCATGCCTGATGTTCATTAAGACTGACCTTTCCTGAAAAACATTTCCCACATTCAAGGCAGGCAAATGGCTTCTCCCCCGTGTGTGATCTTTGATGTGTAACAAGTTGTGATTTCTGTGTATGACTTTTCCCGCACTCTGTACAGGAATACGGCTTCTCCCCTGTATGCAGTCTCTGATGTCCGATAAGACTGGACTTATCTAAATAACTTTTCCCACACTCGGGACAGGAAAATGGCTTCTCCCCCGTGTGAGATCTGTAATGTATGTCCAGTTTTGATTTATAAATAAAACGTTTCCCGCACTCAGGGCAGGAATGAAGCTCCTCACCCGAGTGGTATTTCTGATGTCTGACCATTTCTGCTTTACGAAGATAACTTTTCCCGCACTCAGGACAGGAAAACCTCTTCTCCCCCTGAATTCCGGCACCATCCCCCACAGGACGAGGTTGCTCAGAGTCAGAGGGATTCCATGGTCCATCCACACTGTGACGTCCACCATCCATAGCTGAGCTCATTGTCTCTTCTCCCGCACAATCTGCTGTGATGTCCTCATCTTCCATCTTACAACCTGGAGATAAAGTCAGACGATCCTTTGAGGGTTCCTCCATGGCGTGTCCTGGAAACATAGAGACACATGATGGAGAGATATGAGAGGGTTAGATGACTTCACTCAACATTCCATCTGGATCAGGAGGTCTGAGGGAGCGGATGTTCTATGAGTAGGTCCCAACTAGCTGTACAAGGTTACCCCTATGACTGGCAGATATCACTCAGTTCCCGCCTTTCTCTGGACCAATCAGTGTGCAGGAACAGAGCACAGATAACAGAAGAATATAATATGACCCACCTGTGCTGATCTCTGTAGGCGTGTCCTCCTCTATGGATGTCCTCATCATTCTGGCCTCCTCCGTATATCGCTGATCATCCCTCACATACGTCTCTTCTACTTCACCCTCAACTTTCATCTTCATCAGATCTTCACCCTAAACCAGGAAAATGAAATATGAATAATCAGATAGTCCGGCTGTGAAAATTTTTTCCCACACTCAAGGCATGAAAACGGCTTCTCACCTGTATGAGACCGCTTATGAGCATTAAGATTGCCCAACTGTGAAAAACGTTTCCCACACTCATTACAGGAATACGGTTTCTCCCCTGTGTGGCATCTTTGATGTTGAATAAGCTCTGACTTCCGTGAAAAACATTTTCCACAGTCAGGGCAGGAATACGGCTTCTCCCCCGTGTGCGATCTCTGATGTTTGGTAAGACTAGACTTATCTAAAAAGCTTTTCCCGCACTCTGAGCACAAATACGGCTTCTCCCCCGTGTGCAACCTCTGATGTTTCCCAAGGCAAGACTTATCTGAAAAGATTTTCCCACACTCAGCGCAAATATACGGCTTCTCCCCTGTGTGCAATCTCTCATGTTTGGTAAGGCTGATCTTATCGTAAAAACTTTTCCCGCACTCAGAGCAAACATAAGGCTTCTCCCCTGTGTGAGATCTTTGATGTATAAGAAACGCTGATCTCCAAAGAAAACTTTTCCCACACTCAGGACAGGAATACAGTTTCTTGCCTGTGTGTAATCTCTGATGTATACACAGCTTTGCCTTATCTGAAAAACCTTTCCCGCAAACAAGACAGGAATGTGTCTTCTCTTCTGTGTGCAATATCTGATGTCTGCAAAGACTGGACTTATCTGAAAAACATTTCTGGCACTCAAGGCATGAATACGGCTTCTCTCCTGTGTGAGACCTCCTATGAGAAGAAAGATGGCTTGACTGTGAGAAACATTTCCCACAATCAGGGCAGGAATACGGCTTCTCCCCCGTGTGAGATCTTTGATGTACAACAAGGTCTGGTTTCTGTGAAAAGCATTTTCCACAGTCGGCACAGGAATACGGCTTCTCCCCCGTGTGCAATCTCTGATGTATGGTAAGCTTGGACTTATCTGAGAAACCTTTCCCACACTCAGAACAAAAATACACTTTTTCGCCTGTGTGAGATCTTTGATGTGTAACAAGGACTGATTTCCATGGAAAACTTTTCCCGCACTCGGTGCAGGAATACGGCTTCTCTCCTGTGTGAGATTTTCGATGTTTGAGAAGTGCTGATTTCCGTGGATAACATTTCCCGCACTCGGCGCACGAAAACAGCTTTTGACCCGTGTGGCATGCCTGATGTTCATTAAGACTGACCTTTCCTGAAAAACATTTCCCACATTCAAGGCAGGCAAATGGCTTCTCCCCCGTGTGTGATCTTTGATGTGTAACAAGTTGTGATTTCTGGGTATAACTTTTCCCGCACTCTGTACAGGAATACGGCTTCTCCCCTGTATGCAGTCTCTGATGTCCGATAAGACTGGACTTATCTAAATAACTTTTCCCACACTCGGGACAGGAAAATGGCTTCTCCCCCGTGTGAGATCTGTAATGTATGTCCAGTTTTGATTTATAAATAAAACGTTTCCCGCACTCAGGGCAGGAATGAAGCTCCTCACCCGAGTGGTATTTCTGATGTCTGACCATTTCTGCTTTACGAAGATAACTTTTCCCGCACTCAGGACAGGAAAACCTCTTCTCCCCCTGAATTCCGGCACCATCCCCCACAGGACGAGGTCGCTCAGAGTCAGAGGGATTCCATGGTCCATCCACACTGTGACGTCCACCATCCATAGCTGAGCTCATTGTCTCTTCTCCCGCACAATCTGCTGTGATGTCCTCATCTTCCATCTTACAACCTGGAGATAAAGTCAGACGATCCTTTGAGGGTTCCTCCATGGCGTGTCCTGGAAACATAGAGACACATGATGGAGAGATATGAGAGGGTTAGATGACTTCACTCAACATTCCATCTGGATCAGGAGGTCTGAGGGAGCGGATGTTCTATGAGTAGGTCCCAACTAGCTGTACAAGGTTACCCCTATGACTGGCAGATATCACTCAGTTCCCGCCTTTCTCTGGACCAATCAGTGTGCAGGAACAGAGCACAGATAACAGAAGAATATAATATGACCCACCTGTGCTGATCTCTGTAGGCGTGTCCTCCTCTATGGATGTCCTCATCATTCTGGCCTCCTCCGTATATCGCTGATCATCCCTCACATACGTCTCTTCTACTTCACCCTCAACTTTCATCTTCATCAGATCTTCACCCTAAACCAGGAAAATGAAAGTAAATATCATCTCGTAGGATCCCCACGTTGTCTCCACAACTCCCTTCATGTTCTAGAAGCTCCGCCCCACCCACCTGATCATGGTGGCGGATGGTGAGATCTTCCTGTGTGGGATCCCGGGAATACAGAGGACGGGGACATCTCTCTGGTGGGTTCCTGTAGTTGGATGACTCCTCCATGTTCTCTCGGAACAGATCTTTGTGTCCTTTTGGAAGCTCTGACTCCTCCTTCACTCCGTACTTCTCATCATCCTCTTTTATCTCTTCTTTAACATAAAGTTTAGAATCTCTCTGAATAAGAAATAATAAAAGTGACAAATGGTAACAATGTAGATAAAGTTTAGATCCCAGAGATACCATCAGAGATTGTCCATCACCCACCTGATCACGGTGAGGGATGGTGAGATCTTCCTGGGTGGGGTCCCGGGAATACAGGGGGCGGGGACATCTCTCATGGCGGGGGACGATCGTTTGAAATGGGCGGGGTTTGAGGGATATCATCGCCCTCTCTGTAAAGTGCGGCAACCCAACAGCTCTGGCTGAGAACGCAGTGATGGAGGTCCAATGACACAACTGCCATGAAATCAGGGCCGGCTCTATAACCAGGGAGCCTGATGGCGGATACAAGAGACTGCTAAGGTGAAGAGGTCGCACGCCTCCAAAAGTGACGTCTAGGTTACCACCCCCGTACACAGGTAGACCTTCTGACCTTGAAGGGGTTAACGTGTTTCCACCCCATGTATGCGTGTAGCCGACTCTACCGGGGATGAAGGAGGTCACGAGGAGTATGGGGGGGACCAAAGCTCACATAGTGGGGGGAGGGGAGGGGGTTACTGGGTGTATATATAACATAATATCTTATTACCTCCTCTGCTGCCAGTTCCAGCAATGCCTCCTCTCTACTTCCTCCCAACTCACCTGGAACTTCCTATTTATAGGTGACGTCACTTCCTGTCATAGAGACTTCCTGTCTGGGTATAGGTGAGATCACCACCTGGTGGAGCTCAGAGGAACTGCAGCCCAGAGAAAAACCTCTCGCTGTGTGTGTATGTTCTGTATGTAGATGGGGGTGATGGGAAGGGGGACCCGGAATCCCTCATCATCGAAGATTGGGACATACTTTACAGGTACAAGTTCGAGATTATCTTTGGGGGGGGGATACAAGGCTATCAGCACCAGCTTCTCCTAGTGGGACTGGACAGGAGAGCAATAAATCACAGGGTAACGCACAGGACAATCATACGCATTCA